TTTTTTAGACTACTGCATAAGATGTCTTCCATTAGGAGGCACATAGTATTTGGTTGTCTCTTTCTGTGATTCAGCAGCCATTGATGATATATATATTTTTAAAAAATCAAGTATTACCATAGGCTGCACTGCCCAGTGTAATAGCCACTAGCCACATTAATGTGACTATTTATCACCTCAAAATGTGGCTAGTCTGAATTGAGATGTGCTGTAAATGTAAAAACACATTGGATTTCAAATACTTAGTATAAAAGAAAAGAATGTAAAATATCTATATTTGTTTATAATGATTACATGTTTTAAATGATTTTTTGATACATAGGACAAAATTAATATCACCTCTTTTACATCTTTAAATGTAAGAAAACTAAAAATCACATAATGGCTTGCATTATAATTACAGTGCTGCTAAAAGATAATAAGGCAAATGTTAGACCCTGTCCCATTCACTCTACCTTTCATTCCTGTTCCCCCAGGCAACTTTTAGTCATTTTTCTGCAGTTGTGTTACTTCCACATTTCCAATCAACAAGCTTATAATTATAGCATTTATTGAGCACTTACTATGTGACAGGTATTTCTAAGCTGTTTACATTATGAAGTCATTTAATTCTCAGAACGATCATTTTAGAAATGAGGAAACTCAGGAACAGAAAGTTAAGTAACTTACCCAGTCACAGGCCAAGTAAGTGAGGAGCTTGGATTAGATTCTAATTCTTAAAACACGAGCAGCTGGGTTCTGGGGCCCATGCTTTTAAATACTTTACCATACTCCCTCCTCTGCTTACCTCCAGTTTCTTCTCTTTTGATTTTTTTTTTCAATTGTAAATAAATATTATCTACTAACTTCCTACTGTGGAAGATGAAGATTTCAATTTCTCGCACACACCTTATTTTCCCCCCTCTCTCCCAACCTGGTTCTTCACTGGGACTTGTAACCCCATCATCCTCCCAAGTTAATTGTATAACTTTTGTTAAATTCATATTCAGTATCTATTTGGTATACATAGATAATGTGCTCTGTAGTGTACTACAGTTATATTTCCTTTTAGAATATTTTTGTCTTTCTGGAAGTAGTAATTGCCTTGGTTGTAATTTGTTCAGTTTACTTTGTATCTTCTATTAATTTATCACCAGAATCATTTGTTATCACTCATTTATTCCCCAGAATTATACTGACGGAGACCTTCATTCTTTCTTGAGTCCTTCATCTTTCTGTTCAGGCATCAAAGATACCGGGAATCAACTTCTTTTTCTTTGCTTGTTTATGCCTTCATTTTAATGGAGTACATCTTCTAGTAGCTTCTTGAGAAAAAGTGCATTGAAGGTTCCTTTTCCTTTTAAGTGGCACCTTGTTCTTGATTGAGTGCAATGTGTTATTCTAAGGATGTTAATTTAGGTTTAGAATTTTTCTTTGCTCCTTGTATTTTCTTTAAGGTGCTTTTTCTGTTTGGTTTGGTCATAGTCTTTGAAGTTACAATCTTGCCTTAATTGTCTTAGGATCCTTCATATTTGAGAGGCACAAAGAAGGCTAACTGGAAGATCTCTGTGCATGGGTAAGACTTTAGTGGTGGGCTTCATTGTAGGGTTAGAGGAGCAACAAAACTTTTTCATTTGCCATCCTTTCCACCCTCAACGTCATATTCTGAAGCTTTTTCTTTGGGATGGGTCAGTTTTTCTAGAGAGGAAGCTTCTAGCTGTCTATCTGAGGTGGCATGAACTGGGCTGTCAGTTCTTGGAGACAAGTGAGGTCGGGGCTAGGTATCATTGTTCAGTATTCAGAGTTTCACTTTGTCTTCCTGTTTTCAGTAAGGGATTGCAAGTTTCCATTCCTGCTCCCAGGTGCTTAGCTGGAAGTTGCACCTGCCTTCTTTAACTATTAATGTTAAATGAATGCAAATAGCCACCCAAAGTATCAACTGCCTGTAAACACGTACCATATTGTATTGGTTCACACAGTAATAACATCATAGTATTAAATGTTTGACATGTATTATGTGATTTAAATGAGAAACTTATTCCTACATGGATGCACTTCAGATTCTACCATTGTAATACTTTATTAAAATTTCTCTCCTCTTTCCTTTTCCCTTCTTACCTTGCTCCTGGAGAAACTTGAAGTGCTGAAAAGAGGTGGTGACAGAGTTACATTTTTCCACTAATTGCTGCCCTTTTTAGACACTGAAAAATAATTTTTTACTGGATGATGGAAGGAGCATTCAGTTTTCCACTTGTCCTTCTATCCAGTATTTCTATGGTATATTATATATTTGGTAGTAAAAGGGTGCATTTTTGCAGAATCCAAGAGACCTCACTGAGATCATTAAGACAGGTAAGAAAGACAATGGAGATGAAGGAAACCTGAGACACTTTGATTAATTCAGAGAACTCTGAGGCTGTCTACTGTTGCTGCTTTTTCTACCACATTTTCCTTCTATTCCATTATGAAAATATTGTACAGTACATATCATATTTAACAATAAAAAAAATGTAATTTGTCTCTTCTACATTTCTAAAACTTTGTTATCTACCCTTGCATTATCAGAGTGAAAGTGATATTCTCCCATGATTAAAGCAGCCACTTGTTAAATGATGTATTAAATCATATGCTATATTTTTATGTTTTGAGGCATCTGATACAACAGACCTTAGTAATGATTTTACTCTTAAGAGTTTAATTCTAAAAGTCAGTTCAGTTTTAGGTACACAGTGTTAAATTTTTATTTCAGAATAACTAAAATTGTCTTTATAAGTTTGCTCTAATAGAGAAAATAAATTATTTTCATTAACCCTTTGCTTTTTAAAAAATATGCAAGTACAATTATATTTGGGTATAGGATATCCAGATAAGATACATTATTTATCACATGTTTTTTTCTTTAAAAAAGCACCAGGAATCCAAAGGTATTATTGTACAATTATAAGTGTCTCCAGATGGGGATACTAAGTTCCTATCCCATACCTACAAAAGGAATAATAAGTATTTTTTTACCCACCAAACATGCTAAATAAAATATTGATAATATTGTTAAAGCCTCCTATGTTCTCTTCCCAAAGGAAACCATTATGAATTTGGTGTTTATTACTCTCATAACTTATTAGTACATGTATGTACAAATATAAATAAATGATATTTTGCATGTTTTCAAACTACTGTACTGTGTGTTTCTGGAATTTGCTTTTTCAACATTGTGAGTCATCCATGTTAATATGTGTACTTCAGTTTTTTCATTTTTATTAATCCTCATCAGCTGTGTCTAATCTGTTAAACCCATCTACCATCTACTGGGTTTGTTTTTTTTTAAGATTTTATTGGGGAATTTGGGGAGGGGAACAGACAAGTTGCTGTCCTTTTGTTCTTCAGTCTAGTTGTGGAGGACATCGCTTCACTGGCCCATGTTGGTATTATCATTGCTATCTTCCCGGGTGAGGCAGTCGCTCGCCGGCCATTGGACAGCGGCTCACGGCAGCTCACGAAAGCTCACACCCACTGCTGGCCAGCCCCACTGCAGCCTATGCTGGCACCGGCGACTAACGGCAGCCCAGCTCCAGCTTGAGCTGTTGTTCACCATCTTAGCTGTAGAGGGTGCAGTGTCACTGCCCCTCATGTGGAATCTGAACTGGGGGCCTGCTGCTCGGAGCTGGCGTCCCAAGCAAACTCTTAAACCAATGCACCACTTGGCCAGCCCCATCTGCTGGGTTTTTCATTTCAGTTATTGTATTTTTAAATTCTACAACTTCTATTTGATACTTTTTTTATAGTTTCCATTCCCCTAATAAATTTTCCCATTTTGTCATGTTATTTAATATATAAATCAGTTATTTTAAAGTCCATGTCTGAAAACTGCAACATGTAACTCTTTTGTGGATCTGTATCTATTGTCTTTTTTCTCTTATTTTTCAATCATGAGGTCCTATTAACTGCTATTTCTGGTAAGTTTTGGTAAAATTCTGAGCATCGTATATGAAAAACTAGGAATCATTTGTGGCTTTGCCTGAGGGCTCTGCAAACTGCCCCATGGACCATATCCCGCCTCCCACTTGTTTTTGGCTGACCTTTAAGCCAAGAATGTTTGCTATATTCTTAATTGTTGAAAATAATTAAAAGAATATTTGGGAACATGAAACGTGTATAAAATTCAAACCTAAGTGACCATAGTTTTATTGGAATATAGCTACACTCATGTTTCTGTACTGTCTATGGCTGCTTTTGTGCTACAATAACAGTTGAGTAGTTGCAACAGATTTTATGGCAAGTTAAAATATTTAATGTTGCCAACCCCTGCTGTACCTAGATAATGGTACCTTTCTACAAGAAGACTTATTTCTGGTAGGCTTTTGGGGTATCAGGAAGATCACCTTAATTCATTCAGGGATTTCCTCGTAGTTGATTCACCTTAATTCATTCAGCGATCTAGTTGATTCAAAGCTGGTCTGACATTTTTATGAAGGTTGGTCAGTTTCTGGTTCACCTCTACTCCTAGGGTATAGCTATTCAGGGTTTCCAACTAAAAGCCTGGTGTATTTACCTGATTCCTATTGCTTGATGGGCCCAGTACTTTTAACGGTGGCTCGTTCTATACAGCTTCTCTGTAGGATTGTGGCGCTTCAAATCTTCGCTGCCATAGTATATTTGCCCTAGTAATATTTGTTTATATAAATAAAATCTGTTTAAAGGCGTAAAAGAATTACTAAGGCAGAGAGGATTTGACGAGCCACGATCCAAGAAGGAAAGCTATAGAGGATGAACCAACATTGAAGTGTGCGTGCGTGTTGTATGTATGTATTTTCCAGCTTTTCTAGTTCTTGTAGGGAGTTTGCTCAGCTGAAAACTAGACTGACATTATCAGAATAGAAGTTTAAGGTGATCACATCACATCCCTACTCCAGATTCTCCAATGACTTAATGTGTCATTTGGGACAAAGCAAGTCCTTATAGTTACTTGCTAGGCCTTACATGATCTGAATGATGACATAAATGAGACTGAAAACAGATGGGTCTGAAGAGGCACAGATGGAAGAAAGCACAAATTTATTTTATCACCAGTACACTAGTGTACTAATAAGTGTAAGATTTGACATCCAAAGCAATATACTCAGTGGGAGTACTTCACATTTAAATTTTTTCTATTTTCATTATTTTTAATTGAGAGATAATTTCAGGTACATTTTTAAATGTTCACTTGAATGAGTTTTGGTAAATGTATATACATATGTACCAACACCTGAAGATATAGGGCATTTCTATCACCCTAGAATTTCCCTCTTTGCCTTTTCCAGTTAATCTTCCCTCCACAGAAGCAACCACTGTTCTGATTTCGCTCCCCACAGATCATACTAATTTTAAAGTTGAAAATTATGTCACTGCCATGCTGGTCACAACACTGCCATAGTCTGGATGCTGTGAATGTATTTTCATTGTTCATATTTCACCTACTTAAAAGGATCCCAGACTTTAGGTGTTTTAAAGTCTTAATCTGCTGGTCTAGCTCATAGCCTCTGATACACAGAAGGTGTACTAACACAAAGGGTCCCACACTGTGATTAATACAAGTAACTTGGTCTTGTGGAATACTAGTGAACTATACTAAACTATTTCAAAATTGATTCCTAGAATCCCAACTCTTATATTTCATGGCAAGTCACTTACATTATCTCAATCCTCATTAGCCTCTGGAAGTAGGCAGGGGGAAGCAGTATCTCAATTTACAGTTGAGAAAGATTCAACAAATAATTGACTTATACAAAAATCCCCTTCCCATTAGCCAGTAGTGCCAGCCCTAGATTTTTATTCTTTTGCTCATTCCAGTTGCGTGACTGCATGCACACAAGGAAAGCGCCAGTGTGGATTCCAAAATTCAGTTTTCTTGTTTCTTCTCAGAATATTCATAGGTTGACCATTCTTTCCATCCTCCAGCGTACTGTTGAGCACTGAAAACATACATCACATAGTTAGGGCCATAATCATTTTCTCCTGCTTTTTAACACAAGGTTGATAGGAACTTGGGAGACAGAGTTGCAATGGCTCCTCACCATACTATTTAGACTTTAAGCCTATTTAAAAGATTGTGTTACTTTTGAATAGGATGAAAAGATAGAGGCTCTTCGTCTAGCTGTCCTGCCATTGCTAATAGAGTCATTATAAGAAATTCTTAAGTAGACCAATAAAAATGTTACACATGAAACATTGCAATACACATTCTTGAATCCATTTTTATACTTCATCTATGTACCTATTAAAGCCCAGAGATATTGCTGTATCCAGAGCCTTCTTGCTTCTCACTCCGGCTAAACAAGAAAACACTAGATTGTCAGATTGGGATGGCTTTACTTCATTGTACTTCTCTCTGAAGTCTTTTGAGTTCATCTGTAGAGCTTCACCTACCTCATCCACTGAAAGAAAATGTCAAGAATTTCAATTACATTTTAGACAGTAAATTACAGAACGCATATTTTTGTAATGCATTAGTTTAAGACACACGTCACTTACGTGGTATATTGACAGACCCGGGGATTTTTCCATGCTCAAGAATTTCCCATGGTTCTCTAACATCAATTAACATAATTTTTTTGGAATTCAAGAGGCTTTTAAGTTCCTTATAAGTGACATCTTTAAAAACAGTAGTACAAAAATTGTTGCAGTTTCCTTTTATTGACTTCAAACCTGGAAAGAATAATTTAGACACCTTCAAAATGACATCACTATGAATATCTGGAAAGAAGATCAAAGGGATTTCCCCCTGGTTCCAGTCTGCTAACTATACTTGATCTTTTGACTTTACTAAACTGTGTATTCGATGCATGTATTTTGCACACAGCCCGACCGAGCAGCAGGGTGCAGCCCTGTCCTCCTGCCCTGAATGCTCAATGACTGGCTTTGTGCCAGCTCCATATTCTACTCTCTCCAAGCCCCTTAATTAAGAGGGAGTTTGTAAACACACACAAAGCATCTGGCCACTCAATTGTGCAAATAATGTGTCAATTTTCCTGCGATCCAAGTTACAATATTAAGAAAATTTTAATTTTTTCCCTTACCAAGCAAAGATAATAATTAGCCATGTGTTAGATGTGGTGACCTTACATTTGAAACCACTTGTGAGTACTTAATGGCACTGTTTCTATCTTTTAAATATCTGGTATAATACAGTAATGGGTAATAACCCATAAAACAAATCCATGGGTCCATACTAATATAAGGCTATAATTGAATCAATAAGTGGAGAGAAGGGATTATATCAATTGATAAATGTAGAAGGAATGATGGAAAAAGAAAATCATCACTAGGTAAACACCCCCAGTAATAACTGTTGCAGCAAGAACCACTGATAGATGTTAGAGTTAGTGGGTGAAAGTACAATGACAAATGGGATAGTATCTCCCCAAGAGATACAAAGGGAGACCCCTGAAAGATACCAATACCCAATTATTCAAAGATCACTTCACTAGTAATAAGCTATGTCGACAACATGTACCTCCTGATATAATGCACTGAGAAGAGCACATCACTTCCTCAGTATTCTTGCCAAAAATGCATACTCTGAACCTAATCAGAAGAAAATCTCAGACAAACCAACCTACAAAATTACTAGTACTCTTAAAAGTGCCAAGGTCATGAAAGACAAAGACTGTGGAACTGTCACAGATTGAAGCAAACTAAGGTGCCATGACAATAAAATGTAGGATCCTGGATTGGATCTGGGACTATAAAAAGCATCAGTGAAAAAACTGGTGAAATTTAAGTAAGGTCTGTGGATTAGTTAATATGATTATATCACTACTAATTTTCTTGGTTTCAATAATTGTACCATGTAAGATGTTTACATTAGGAGAAGTTGGATAAGAATAAAGGGAACTCCATTTTACCTTTGTGACTCTTCTATAAGTGCAAAATTATATTTTAAAAAATGGAAGAAAACCCAAAAGCTATAAAAATAAAAGCAAAAAAAATGTTAATATTCATTTTACAACAAAATGACCATTATAAGAAAGGTAGTAAGAATTATTCAAATGTTTAAAATATTAAATATAAAGCGAAATTGTTTTAAATAGTGTAAAGCTGGCATAGGAAAAGGTTCAAAGGTCTGATTCCAGAAACAGACCCATACTATACTATCTATGAGAATTCAGTATCTGTTAACAGTGACAATTCAAATTAATGGAGAAATTATATAGTCATGTGTCAATTAATGAGAGAGTTACTTTCTGAGTACTGCATCAGGCAATTTCATCATTGTGTGAACATCACAGATGCACTTACAGAAACCCAGATGACATAGCCCACTCACTACACACTTAGGCTGTGTGGTACAGCCTATAGCTCCTAGGCTACTAACCTGTACAGCATGTTACTGTACTGATACTGTAGGCAGTTGTAAGACAATGGTAAGCTTTTGTGTATTTAAACATGGAAAAAGTACAGTAAAAATATGGTGTAAAAGACAGA